CAAAGCTCGCTAAGACTAATCTTCATTTTGGCCTCATAAAAAACTTATTTATCCTTACTCCTTCTAATACCTCCTCCTTCGCTACCACTTCCACGCTCTCCATAATTACTGCTACCACCTCATCCGTTTCTTCTCACATTTTCTAAGATCCAACTGTGACAGGCTACCAGTATGGATGATATTAGTTGGGCAGATGTTACTTTAACACCCAGTTATAAGTATTCTTCCAAGTAAGTTGGCTATGAAATCTAAACATCCTTTCCATTTCTAAAGTTCCTTGAGGAAAATAGGATAAGCCAGAAAAAGCCTCGGTGGTTCTGCAATTTAGCATCTTTGAGGCGGATATGAGAGTATTACTAGAAGTTTTGTTGCCCAGAAATCCTGAGTATTAGGTTAGTTTTTGTTCGAAATTAAAAAAAAAACAACTGCTAATCAGATAACCCTGTGAAAAAGTCAATATGGTAGTGCTTAAATGAAAACTGCTATTACAAATGCACCGTAGACAACAGAAATGTCTACAAAAACAATGACTGCAAAAAGACGCAGCGAAGACAATGGCTGTTGTGCCGACAGTCGGAAATATGATTTCGAAAAGAAATAGCAACCACCACTGATGATGCTCATATGCGACCATTGAACTAAAATTTCCTTAGAGGGTCATTTAAATATATCATGATTGAAGGTTAATAAATTATAGACTGAAAAAACTGTTAAAACTAGATTCTGAGATATTTTATTGATCATGAGGATACAAAAAAAGCAATCATCTGTTTCTTTACGTGTTGCACTTTAGTTCGCTTACAGGATGTTCCCGACAAAGCAGAAATAGAAACTCTTTTTGTCCGCCATTTAAGTGACCCAGGAATATTAATCAGTCTTTCATAAAACGGTTAAACTATTATCGTTTCAACTGAATACAAGTATTTAAGTGATACCGACAATTTTCTCCCGCAATTCTTTCAAGTTTAGCAGTGTAACAGTTCAGTAAAAAAAAATAACAACTTTTTCACCGTTCATGGTGACATCAAAAGTTGAATTTCAAAACAATAATTACACTTTCTGCGAATACAGTTTTCAAAGTACAATTTGCCTCTAACTGACTACAAAAATGTCTTTATATCCCTGACGTATTACCAAAACCTTAGTTAAAAAAGTAAAAAATGGTAAAACAAAAGAACTTAGAAAACGAAGGTCGACAGTAACCATTTTACAACAGAAACGAGAAATTTGAGGGGAGTTTAGACCAAAATGCGTCGTTTAGCCAACTAAAAGAAATGCAATCTTAAACGTGACAACAAAATTTCTTGACAGCGGTAAACCAATGATTAGTTGATACTTTCGATGTCTTCACGTTCGCTTGGTTAAAAGAACCCTATCGCTTTGATCTATCTACATCTGACTGAAAGCCTAACCCATATCAGCTTTTTTAATGCTACAACAAAAATGTTAAACTGGATTTTGACACTGTTTGTTTAAAAAGATCCCTCCTCAAGCTAGGCTTGATAATTGGAAAATAACAGCAGTAAAGTGGCATTCTGCTACAAATTCTTTCTAGTCATTTCAACGCACCAAGTTTCATTTCCTTCCTCTCAAGCTCCTTCGTTACATCGTAATATCAACACAACTTTTTATTTTTTATTTTTTTATTTTTTTTTTTTGAGATTAGTTCGCCAATTGGAACAATTTGTTAAGTACATCTTTCGTCGCAAAAATAAAATAGGCAAGGAAATAAATGCTGGTCAGCTATGACCAATACTCCTTCTGGATTACTGAGCAAAATTTGTCATGTTCTTCAGTCAGTCGGCAACTGTATTCTCACTAAATTAGTCACCAAAAACAGTGTATGTTTATAAATGAGTAAAAAGGAATTATATATTTTGAAAATCTTCAAAGAAAAAATAGCTGTTGATAATCATTTGTGAAGCTACGCAAAAATCACTGTTCATAAGTGTTGATAAAATTTTTTTTTCATTTTTTTTTATTCATTTTAAACTTTTGTTTACTCTATGATAATAGTCGAAAAATAAAATCCATCAACACAACATCGAACGGTCAAAAAAAGAGTGAGCTCAATACTGCGTCTAATCAAAACCATCAATATAACTGAAAAACGATTGTGACACAAGAAAAGACTAAAAATTTAAATGCAAAAAAAAAGAAGAGAGAGAGAAACAAAATAAATGAAAAAATAAAGATGAAATATTCAGTTGAAATAAATTTGAGGAAAATGTTGTAGAGTTGAAATGTTAAAAAGAACAGCAACATCAACAAAAACAGCAACAGCAACAACAACAAGAAAAAAACGATAGAGTTGAGAAGCAGGAAAACAAATTAGCGCAAAATATCGTCCTTTTCACAGAATTTAATGAATACATCGTCTTCTTGGACGATGTCGCCCAACAAGTCGACGTTCCTTTTGTTGTCGTTGTTGTTGTTGTTGCTACTGCTGCCGTTATAGAAATTCGTGTTTTCGACAGACATGGGGAATAGTGCGGAGAGGGGAAGGGGGAAAGTGCGGGGAGAAAAGAGGGGTTGTGGTGCAGCACCGGTAGACAGACAATTACTAACTGCATCGGGTTTTGGTTGCTTTCCTTATATGACAATAGAATCTATTCTATTTTATTTTATTTTTTTTTATTCTCCTGCTCTTTTTTGCAGAGCACAATCAACCCCACAACGATTTTCTTGCTCTTCCAGTTTTTCCTATTGATTCACCAAATATAAGTTAAACTTTGTATTTTTCTCCCTCTTCCTTCTAGAAAAATGTTCAAATAAAAAAAAAAAAACAAAAGCTTTTTTTTTTTTGGCTCTATGTAACAGAACCCAATTTTTCTCTTAAAAAAAAAAAAAA